AAAGCCATTGTGGAGGCTTTGCTGTTTGTTATGTATCTGGAAAACAAAATAATGTAAGGGATTCGATGGGAGCTGAGGAAATACTCCAGCCTCCATTTTAAAAATTAAATCAAGTGGGAAAGTTTGAAGAGGTCTTATTTGCAGCGGTTGCTAATTTCTGACTTCCACTGATGTCAGTGAGACTGCTGAGGGAAGCACACCCCACAGTCCTGTTTGGTGTGGTTATGGAAGTGACCTTCCTGCAAACAGAAATGGGGTGGGTACAGTGCTGCTGTAGGCAAGCCTTCTATCGCAGTAGCAGAGCTCTATGGAAATGCAGTTCAAGATTTGAAATCCCTGAAATTACAGTTTGTAAGGAAGCTAAACACGTCACCTGACAAATGGAACAAATGCTCCATTTTCAAACAAATGCTATATAGACATAACGTATATTTCTTGTCTGGAGAGATTTAACAGTAGATTTCTGTACATTTAAAAATAGTTAATAAAAAGACCAAGTCTGGGAGAAAAAAAAAAAAAGCAGTGCACACCACAGAATTCATCGAAAATGGTGGTTATCATGGCAACATTTCCAAATGCCAATCAGTGCTAGTTGTAATGATATGTTACAGTTGCAGTGCACCTTTGAAACACAATATCTCAAAGCAGCTTGCAGGCATTAATCAACCCTTATAAAACCCACTGCAAGATAACTTTATAGATGAGGAAGCTGAGGAACAGAAGATTTAAGCAACTTGCCCAAGGTCAGACAGTGTCGGAGCTGGGAATAAAAATTCAGCTCCTTCAAATTGCTCTACCCATTTATAGCAGTCTCTCCCTATTGTTCCCACACTTGTACAGTCAATTTCTCTTTTTTTTTTCTGGGAATAAACATGGTTTATCTTTTGCAATCTCAGACCGTTAAATTTATAAAATGATTTGGGACTCATTGGTCTGTTATTAGCTGTAAATATTTCAATCAAATAATGCATTTGACTGTAATGCTTCTCCTCCAGTTTCAGCTGACCTCCCAAGTGAACCACTATATCCTTTTCCAAGGAACGATCTGTAGTGCCAAGAGAAAATTTCTGGTAAAGTGTTGGCAGAGGATGCTCACAGATCTGCGGGTTGATTGCTTCCAACCCCATGTTGCACGTCTGCTAGTTAAATTGTGTGCTACAAAATCACCAGAGACATGACTCTGAATACAGTTTCTCTCCCAGCAAAAGAACAAAGCCTTCAGAAGAAGAAGTTTGTACCTTCGGTTGAAATGCTCCCTGAAGTGACCCAAAGGGACCTGAATGTGGAAGCATGGGTGGCATTCCAGGCATTGCTGGAGGATAGGTTGGAAAGAACTACAAAAGAAAAAGAGATGCTTATGTCACAGGACAACTTGAACAATAATGGAGGTAGGTGCCAAGCCTGGCACATAGAAAAATAGTACTGTGTTGAATGAGTGCCACAGTGAAAATATACACTAAATTTGCTTTCAAAATTTTTAAGAGCAAAGCCAAAACTTGGAAAATGCGCTCATCTGATGAATTTTCTAGATAGTGCTGAACAAGTGTGCCTTTAAAATCTGTGGACTATTGCAGGAAGCACAAGAGCATTCATCATTTTTAGAGGAATCTGAATAATTTGGGGTTTATGTTCACTTTTGGTTAACTTTGCATTTTTCTGCAGTAGCAAACAAATCGATCCTGTTTTGAAATGTGACCTGCTTTAATTTTCAAAGCAAAAAAGAACCACAAGATGCTGCATTGCACACTAACCACAGGCAACATGCACACCACCTTGTAGTCGTGTATGTTGGGTTAAGTTTTGCTTAGGCCTCTCCTGAGCACATACAGCAGTTTTACAAGTCCCAAAACATATAGTTTGTGTGCTTTGGAGCAGTGGGGAGCACCAGGAAGAAACCACCAGTCTGACTTACTCCTGTGACCTGAGCAAAATCTTGTGAAAGAGCCATGCACTCCGGGCTGCTGCACTGTGAGAAGCACCAGCTGCAAAGATACTGCAATGACCACTGATTTAGCCATTTCTGCGCATTCCCTGCCATCCCAGGCACAGCAGTATAGAGCCGCAGCAGCAGTAGACAAAGATTAAAAAAAAAAAAAAAAAAAAAAGCCCAAAGAAAATTCTGTACCTTAAAAAAAAATAAAATATCAAGACGGAAAAAGAGCTTTAGGAATGAATGAATCAAAACACTACCAATAATTGAAAACAAGCAAAAGAAATGCAAGCAGAACCATTAACAAAGACAGCACCTAGAAAGGTAAGCACTCACATTGGAATGTCGAAAGTAAGGGTTGTCTAATTTGGGAGCGTACTTGTCAAACTGGAAAGAAAAGAGAAAAAAAAGAAATCAGGTGAGTTTGGTTTCAGCAGTAGTGGATACATCAGGATTTCAACACAGACAAATAATCGTGGCTGGTTTGTACAGCATTTAACAGAGCAGAACAGACTGGTTATTCCATACTCGCTCATCAGGGAGCCGAATGATCTCCCAAAGCTAACGGGGACGGAAAGGCACCAGGCCCTGGGTTGCGCCAGGCGCTGCCACGTCTCGCCGTAGACCCCTGTTTGCAGGCACTATGTGAAGAGGTTCCTTCACTATGAAGAGAGCAGTCCTGGGATCTGCAGCACAGCAAAATGCAGGAAAGTTCAGCTCCAGGTCCAGATCTGGGGTCTGCCCCTGGAGCACTGAACTAGATCGCTGACTAGAAGGTAGGGAACAATTTCCATCAGACCCCAATATCTACTGGGGGGCAACCAATACAAATTCCCTGTTTTCTGGGTTCCTGTAACTGCCAAAATCATTTGGAAAAGGGCTTAATTGCTTTAGATGCACAAATCCCTCTATATTCCCCTTCCCCTGCAAGAGAGAGAGCGCCCCAGAGAAAAGCTGATTGTTAACCTTTTCCGTTCCAGCATGGGGTTTTAACACCTCCACATGTGCAGTCTGTGCCCCATATTTATTTTTGTGACCATTTGTCCTGTACCACCTTGGAAGCAAAACCAAAGCATATATACGTTGCATTTTGGAACAGTATGTACATTCTGCTGGGGAGGAGGGTGTGGGGAAGAAGGCAGGGAAGGGAGCTGTAGGACCCCATCAAAAGCTGCTTATTTGGCAAGTCAGCTGCTGTTTCACACTCCTCTATGTGCAGGAGAGTAGATTTGTAATTTCATTAATTACAGTTATTACTGGAGCCATGTCCCCTCCAGTGTAAATACCATAAATTACCAAACACATGCAGCTGTATATTTCAACACTCTTCTCTGGTGTTGGGATTAGCAGACCTGATCTAGTGGAATATAAGAAGATGTGAGGGAAATTTCACAAAAGAGCCTTGCAAGCTGTTTTTGCTATGAAGGCTGACATCAACGGGCTCGGCTGGGAGGGGAGGGAGCTGCTCGCAGGATCAGATATCAGGATTCTTAAATAACACGGGAGTTTTCTGAGAAAAGTTTCAAGACTGTTTTACACAGACCAAGAAAAGAAGGGAAGGTGTTTACACACGACTACACTGAGCAAACACCTGGGGCTGGATTTTGGGTGGATGACATTACTTTTAATTGTCTCGCTGCTAAGCAGATTACAACCCAAGAATGTCAGCGGGCAGGCAGCAGGGGGAAAGAAAAGCGAGAAACGTTATTCTCCTGGAGTTCTTGGTAGTTGTTTCCAAATGCTGCTTTTGCTGTTACTCCTCGCTTTTGCTACCCTTAGCAGAAGAGGGCTGCTTCTACATTTTGGACACAGTGTGAAACTGAGAGGTGAAAAAAAAGCTGAATCTTGTTCTTTCCATCTCACAAAGCAATTGCCAGAAATGGAGAGAGAGCACCTTTTGAAGTACTGACAAAATCCATTTGTAGCAGATCTCTAACAATTTTGTAACAGCTGCAGCAAAGTCCCATTGTGTTACAAGCAAATTCAAAGGCAAAACACTAACACTTATTACACGGCCAGGAGGGTCTCTCCCACAAGAACCAGCCACACACAAATTAGTGCTTGTTGATGTAATCAAATAATAAATGCCAAAATTGACACAGATGAGGGAATTAGGAGGAAGTGGGACAGAACTCGTATCAGATGAGATGCTGCACTACGGTGAGAGCTCCAGGTAAGCAAGAATGGTCTGTCCCACCACCAACAGCGGTGGGGACTGTGTTTGGTACCAGGGGCCACCAATCTTGTGGTGTCCTTGTTGGCGTGTTTTGGTGTGTTGTGGCACTTGGCTCTGGCGAAGGGGGAATAGAGGTAGACAGCAGGACACACGAAAAGGGAAACTAAAGGGACTCTGGACTTGTCTCACGGGTGCAGTATCTGCTGGTGGGTAGCAGCAGGCTTGGTGTGGGGGCTACGGACAGAGCGGGGTGGCCCGCCCCTGCCTCTCCAGGCCTCCCGGCTGAAATGAAGAGGACTGGGGTCTGTTTGACAAGAGCGGGTTAGGCTTTTTGACCAGAGATGCTCTACTTATCCTCACATTTTGGGCTGGGGTACGCACCATGGGAGGTGCAGAGGGCGGCATGAGCGGCGTCTGGGGCAAGCTGGATGGAAAAGGAGTGAATGTGTGCTGGTGGGTGTGTTGGTGCTGATGCGTGTGTTGGTGCTGGTGAAACTCCGCCCTCAGCAGCGGCACCGGGCCAAGTGAGGCAGCGGCCCGGTCCGAACTCTGAACCAAAAACCGGTTGTTCAGCTCTTGCCTGAGCAGTTCGTGATCTAGAGGAGAGAGAGAGAGAAAAAAAAAAGACACAGAGGCCCGTGGGCCCGTGAGTACCACAAAGACGGGAGAAAGAGTCAATATTCACCTGGCATTCCCTGTTTCGGCAGGTCATGCTGTGGTGGTTTTCTACGTGAGGACTCATTGGTGGAGGTAAGAGAGATGCCTGTGACAAAGTACCAATCAGAATCCCCGAATGAGGCTGGCAATACATGATTGGTTGGTTGAATGATATCAACAGGCTGGTATCTAAAGGCAAGAGAGAACACCATGAGTCATCACAGCAGAAAACATGGGGGCTCAGCACCGCCGCCGCCGCCCGCCCGCCCGCTCCCACCGCTCCTCCTCCTCCTCCTCCTCCTCCCCGGCACCGACGGCGTGTCTCCGGGAACGCACCTCCGAGGGCCGGCCTCACGGCACGGCGGCCGGACCTTCCCGCGCCAGCAAGACGCTGGGGGGGCCCCCGCGGGCAAAGTTCGCTCGAAAATGAGTATACTGACCTGCTTCCTCCGGAGGTTTGGCATTCGGAAGCGTACATGTACACTGAGAACGGATGGTGGGCCTAATGCCTTTGCTGAACTCTACCATGCATGTACTTAAAAGGGAAAATTTTGACAAGATCTACAACGCAGTGAGGCAACCGTGGATGTGGGGTGGCTGGAAACTACTTGCTCGTTCGGTGATCTCTCAAAAGATCCCTGTGCCATCCTCCCCTATTCTCAGCCCCAGGACATGCACACAGTGACCAGAAACATCCATCCTACGAACTGAGGCCTCCTTTGCAATAAGTCTTTTTTGAGACTTTAAATAACAAGGAGTCCCTTCCTCAATTTCTAACAGGCTGTGATTGTCATTTTTTGTCCTTGCCTCCAGGCTTTTCTCCTATGAGAAAATATGGAGGAGGAATCAGTGGGAAGAAGAGAAACATTGAACTGGCTCAAGATCTCACGAAGGCTGCAGCGATTGCAGAAACAAAATGTTCCACCATATGACATGCAGCCTCTTCTCAGCATCTTCCTCTGGAAGAACAACTTGCACTGAATTCGAATGTGGTTTAGGGCGGTGGAAGATACCAGCACTTCAGAAATGATGTGACTGAAGAAAACAAGGACAAATGTCCACTTCCCCAAAACAACTGTTGGTATCAGTTAAACTGTGACTTTGCCTAAGAACTTCAAACAGGAATCAGCATCCAACATGTTAGATGCTTTCTAAGCTGAGAGCAACCTATGTCACCAGTTGCGGATGACGTACACCCAGTCCTGACTGACCTACTTGCTTCTGAATTTACACAAATCCACTTCTTTCAGTGTAACACCCCTTTTAAACTACAGCACTGAATATAAAGGGGTAAAAGAATACATGTGCTTTGAAGTTTTATTTCATGTTCTGCAGGCATTTCTATTGCTTAAATTTTCTAGAGTAACATTAGAAATGTATAAATCACTTCCTGAAGTGACATGGTTAAGGTGTTCAAAAACAGGCACTCTGATGGGGAATTTCAAGGTCTCTACTACCACTTAGAAGCCTCCATCTTATTGAAGGTCACTTTTGAAAGCAAATTTTGGATGCCTAAGTCATTTGCTTTTCAGTAATAAATGTATTGCTAAGAGCAGGTACTGCGTACTGCTACGATCTTCGTAATAATTAATACAAAAGCAGAAAGTACATATACTTGTGATAGTGAAGCCTAAGGCAGTGCAGCAAAAAGAGTCTATAATGGGTTCTCCTTGGAGCAAGCAAACAAGAAAAAAAAAAACTAGGCTGAAAGCACTTAGGTCCAAAACCTAACCTCTTTAGAGAATATGAGTATGAATTCACAAGTGTGCGTGCGTGTTTACGCACTGAAATCTGGCATGACTTAAAGAAACTGAATCCTTCTGTTAGCATCAAGATAATCCACTTTTCTGGAGGGAGAGATAAAAGCGAGTTGGCAGTTTTAAGTGCTCCGATATCCAATTTCTTTAAGAGACTTGAAGTCAGACTGATAGATTTGCAGCTGGCTCCAGCCCATAGCCCTGTACCACAACTTTGGCTTTTGTCAGAAAAAGAAAAAGGTCCAGATATGTTTGGAGAAGCGGTGTGACACTCGGAGGAGTGGCTGCTTCATGGTAAGGATGGGACTGTCAAGTAATAACCCAGCTCCGTGGGGGCTCTGGGCAATGTTAGGATCAGAACTAAGTTCTTGCACCTGCCAGTGACGTCTTGTCGTGTGGGTCTGGCCATGTAGTAACACAACTAGGCGCAGAGTAACCGAGCAGCCCTTTGAATGCCCAAACATCACTGCTCGGCGTGCACCCATGAGGTGGGCATGGCAGAAAAAGGTCAATCCTGCTCGTGTTGCTAGGTACTCTCATGTTTAGAAGAGAAGACACAAAGACCACTGTTTCTTCTGTGTATCCTACATCAGGGACAGCCTTGGTGCCCTTGAGTAGAGGGCAACAGCCCACACAAGGGTTGCTCCTAAGTCACTTGTACAAGCTTTAGGTTTCAAAGGGAAGAAATGCCGCCAGAAGTGCATTGTTGGTGTTCAGAGACCTGAATGTGCACCATCAGTGAATCCAGGAGCTTTGAGCTCTGCTTCTCTTTTTGGTAACACTGACAAGTGTGCCAAAGTAAATTTAAAGGAAGAGCACATTTTCCTCCAAAGAGGGGGCTGAAAAAGATGACGGAAAAGAGACTTCAAAGGGCCATACCGTCTCCGATGGCTTTTCTAAGTTGGTGCTTTTACGGACAGCACACATGCACTCGATGGGCACAGCAAGGACTATGCTGCCAGTGGCAGCTGGATCCCAGCTCTTCAGGGCTGCTCAGCAATATTGTTTGCTTTTAAGAAATTTTTATGTGAATGACAACAGAAGCTCCTGGCTATGCAGCGCTCTGTATCGATTTTATGATGTGCCAGTTTGCAAGCATTTCATATAATGCAGACAAGAGGCATTTCACTGTCTGCAGGGTTAGACGCCCAGACCTTTCCTTCCACTAACTTAGGCTTCTCCTGCTTAAATTGCAGGAGAAATCCTTTTAGTAGGAGCAAGACTGTTACCGTTTCCTGGCAAGCTGCTGAATGTGAATAGGTCACTTGATCTTGCACCTCCTGAAGTTAATGGTGAAAACATACTTGCTTTCAGTGACTGCAATATCATGCTTTTAGTGAGCACATTGCTATTTCCTTTTGCAATACTTTCAAAGCCTCCATCACAGTAGTCCTTTGCCTTAAACAGGGGAAGCAATGAATAGGTCTCCCACAGTGCTGCCAACATCTTCCCAGCCATGTGGTTGAAATTCTAGATGGTGCCAGGGCCTGTGAAAGCCGGCAGCTTTGGCGTACGTGGTCCTGCTTCTGGCTAGGAACCCACAGCACTTTTGTCTATCATCGTTCTGAGAGCTCACTTTGGTCCAATTCACATTTTTATTTCATTTTAAGAAAGAGTTATAAATAACGGGATATTGTTTAGTTCCTGGAAGAAAAAAAGGGGACACAAGGCCACCAGATTTTTCCGCAGCAAATCTGCTCTCTCTCCTTATTCCTTTAACTGGCTTCATAGGAAACAGAGGGCGCATTTTTTGCAAAATGCTTGTCCTGTTTAATCCCTGCTGAGTTAGTTGTGGAGTCAAATGCCAGATCAAAAGGAGGCCCCAGTAAGTGAAAGTTGCAGGGAAGTCTCCAGCTGCCAGGGCCTCTTCCAGGGACAGCTGTAGGCTAATGGATAAACTATGAACAGGGCACTTAGGGCAGAAGTGACAATAGAATGGGGGCCAGGGTGAACAAAGGAAACTTTTTAAAAGGATGCGAAGATAGTGACAGAAAGGCCAAGCAGCCATTGGCACACAGAGAGCTTGTGCTGCTGCAGGCAGAGGATGCTGCTCTGCCAGCAGGATGTGCTGCTTGTCGAAGGATCTGAGAGGCGGATAGGTGTGCAGTTAGAACAGCCTTCTGGGACGATTAGAAATATTTTTTTCAAGTCCGTTCTAACAGCAGCAGCTTTCATTCAAGTGGGGAGAAAGGCAAACTGTACATCAGTCCTTTGTTAATCTAAAAATGCCTGGTGACTGTGGAAAGCCACACTGGACAACTCATGCCCTGAAAAAAAGATTTTTTTTTTTTTAAAAGTTTGTTTCGAAGACTTCTTATAGGAAGCTACAGTGCTGTCTCTACACTCTCTCATCTGGTAAAGCATGTCCATGTCTCCTACCTGTTTCACGAGCCTTCTCACAGTTCCAGCACGCAGTGCCCATGGAGCGGTCTGCGTCACTTTTATTTTACCTGCCCACCAGCCAGCCCATCTCTCAACACCCTCCAGTGCATGCACGGCAGATCAGCCCTGGAAGGAGAAGGGAACCTACCCGCAGGGTGACCTGGTATCACGAGGCTGTTGGTAGGTAACGCTGGTGGAGGTGGCAGCGTGGGTGGGGTGGCGAACATGGCCGGATGGTGCTGGTGTTGGGTCTGCGATCTGAGAGAGAAGTGCGAGGTAGCAAGATTAGAGATGGAGAGGGGCAGAGCCGGGCCGGAGGAATGGTGCGGAGGAATCTGGGGAGAGAGGGGAAGGTGTTTCGGGAGGCTGATGCTCGTTGCACTGCTAGCGCTGCTGCTCCGGCTGCAGAGAGAAAAAGACGGGGGCAAGAGGGGGGCAGAGAGAGAGAGAGAAAAAGCGTGTTACGATACAAATTGAAACAGTGCAAGAAATACACTACCAAAACCAACACGACTATGTAACACGGATCTCCCCAGGCTTATGTTTTTGTTTTTTTTTTCATGGCAGTGGAGACAGTAACAAATTTTAATGAACTTCTCCAACAGGGCAGGACGGGGCTTGGGCCCTCCGGAGTGACGTTTCCTGTGGTGCTTCAGCAAGTTACAATCCTCAGAGCTACCCATGAGACACTGATGATGGCCACAGAGGCAGCTGGATTTTGCACCTTTATTTAGCCTCTGATGACCCTGCAGTAGCCACGCACATCCTTGTGATCATACGACACAATTACTCTCATCCTTTTTTCAGTTACTCTGGGTGCACAGAGTTGCATAATGTGAGTGACTTTGGGACCAAGCTGTACCTGCTGTGCATGCTGTGTAGTTACGTTCACACAAGCGTGCACACACATGCCATGTTACTAAATTATTCTTATAATAATTTTGTATTTTAAATCTTTTTCTATGATTATTACTCCACTGCAAGTGATCTAAGTTTTGTGAGGTGAAAGGCAGTATTCCTAAAGTCATTATGCAGTGTAATTCCCACAATACCGATATTTGTTGCAATCTAAACCTTTGTGATATCCTGAATAGTTAGCAATACTATTGCATTTATACTATGGTGGCATTTACAAGATAAAACCACAAGAGAGCTTAGGTATGCAGGATACTATGAAACACACATTAATGGTAGCTCTCCGTATTCATATTTTGACCCTTATGCAGGCAAACGTTATGTTTTAAATCAGTCTTCTCATCTTTTTTAACTACTCTAGTTCTGGTTTGGGGGACAAGGTATATTTTCTGTACCAGCAAAAAGATTATACAGGTTCCAGTTGATTAGATAAACTCTTCTCTCTACAAACTCTTTTCTGTACCATTTTCATCCATTCTACTTACTGGAAGGAGGCAATTTAGCTAAGCCTCTTGCTACATCTGACCATGTCAGATTGAAGCAGATTTCTCAGTCCCGTTCTAAGGGACACACCATCTTCTGAACAGATACTCCTCTTTTGGTACTGGTGAGCCAAAAAAACTGTGATAACCATGAACAAACCTTCTACTTCAACAGAAGTCTTTCTGATTATGAGACAAGGCAACTGGTCAAACTCCAACCACAAATTTCTAAGGCAAGAACCAGCCAGCTCAGACAAGATAATGCAAAGCTCCACTAGAAACTAGACCTAAAAAAACTTTACCCCACAGTTACACAGGTATTTCTCCCAGAAAGGGAGCATTTATCACCATGTTTCAAATGCAGCTATCTGCCACTGCTGGAAATTCCAGTCTGTGGAGTCAGCACAGAAAGTCCAATAACCAAAACATGGAGCATCTTACTCAGACAGTAAGAGTACTTGTCTCACCTCCTGGCAATTTCTATCCCATTTTAAACAAGCTTTAGCTCAGCAATAGCATAAAGATGACACGAGCATCCCCATCCCCTACCTGATATTATTGAGTCCGTTGTGGGCCACCTGGTGATGCACTTGGTAATTGAGAGGTGGAGGGATGTGACTCGGAGGCTGGGTCCGAAGCTCAGGTATTAACTGAGGCTGCGACTGTGGCCGAGGTTGAGGTTGTGACTGTGGCCGAGGCTGCGGCTGAGGCGTGAGCCTTGGTGGTGCTGGTGCTGAAATCACTGGCTCTTTCTTCAACAGTGGGCTTGCTCTGGCGCTCGACGTGGGCGCAGAGGAAGTAGAAGTCACAACGGCAGCTACTGGCTGGGGGCTGGGGATAGGCAGGGCGAAGGGCACGTCGGTGCTCAGTTCCCGGCTCCGCTCTAGCCCAGACACCTTTGGGACATTGGCTGCTTTCGCTTCTGGCTTGTCATTCAAGGTGGGACCTTACGGAGCAATAAGAGAAAGAACAAAGCGCATGCTGAACGGTCTGCATTTGTTTCTCTGCTTAGTAGAACATATGGCTGAGAAAAAACAAGTCATGTTTCAGCTCGTGGGAGCATCGTGGGAGCACTGCTGCTACAAGATGGATGTGCGTTTCTGTCTGTCCTTCCGCTGTCCTTGACTGGCCAATCTACAGTACTTTAGCATGTGTGTAAGAGACTTAGCTGTCACCAAATGAATGCATACTACAAAGAATATACAGCTTTGTGCCTTCTACAGACTCCCAAGGTTACGTACAGTAGGAGTGTGAATGTGTCTCAAGTTACTGCTACAGTATTTCCTGCTCAATAAGTTTTAAGGCTGATAATGAACTCATGAACACATGCCTGATCATTAAGACATTTAATTTTCTCAACATCCTTTCAAGGTAATCTACATTGTGTTTAGGCTCAACTCCAGCTACAATGCACCATGACTCAAGCACTAATCATTAATGATAACCCCACCTGGCTTCTAGGGAGGAGGCTACCTGGGATCTTTGTGTAGCAAAGGATGAGACAGTTCTGCAGTGAAGCTGTGACAGTGCCATTCCGGGGCCACACGCTTGTGTGGAAGAACAGAACAGAGAAGGCTGGAAAAATCCAGTCAGAAGTGCAGTGAGCATCCAAGTGTAGTCCTGCTCACCTTAAGTATTGCACATGCTTGTATGCACTGCATGTCAAAACTATCAGGAACTCTGCGACCTTGCAAAATGCACCTGTGGTGAGAATTCCATATGGAATTACTCCTTCTATGATTACAAGAATTTCCTTTTTTCCAAATTAAGCTAAACAAAGCAGCTCAAAGGGTTAAAAGTCTGGAAAGGAAATAGGAAAAGGGAGGAAAGAAGAGACCTTTCAGATCAAGCAGTATCCAAAAGGTTGAAGACAATCGAAAGGACCAACATGAACGTGACTCTACTCCCACTGTAACTCTCTTTTCGACATAATCTGCATATGCTTGAGAGCACATATACCCACAATTACAAGAAAAGCTGTTCATGGGTTATGAGAACTAGTGTTGTCCATGTGTTTCACATGTACACACCCGGGCACACACAGCACTTCTGACTTTCAAGATATGTGCTTTCATTATCCTCTAGAACGTGTTGGAGGCTGTTTGCATTTAGTTGGCTTGCAGACATGCAAGAGATGCTACCTACACTCCTCAACATGCTCCCAACACCCTCATGAACGAATTCCACCTTTGAAATTTTCCCGTCTCATCAAAGGACCGAGCCAGTTCCTGATGTAGGAGGTGTGGAACTAACACACAATACACACCGTGAGCTAATTCTGGCCACGCAGACGCTCTAACCAGGCATTTGAAAACAGCCTATGCGAGACCAGAGTCCTCACTGCCGTGGCTTTGACAACTTGAGCATCACCATGCCAGCACTAGATGAGAAGACAGTGATGAATCAGAGCCTGTAGCACACCAGCTCATTTTCTGCACAGAAAATGCCCATGTGGTGATGGCATCTCTTTCCTTGAGATAAAAGGCAGCTCCCCACACTGCTTCTGGCTCTGCTTCCACTCTCACCATTACACTATTTCCTTCATCAATCCATCAATCAATCAATCAATCCACATATATATATATATTCAGACTGTGAAAAGAGAACGAATGGAAACATATGAACCATATCAGCTGAAGATATGCAAGGACTTGTGGCCTCTAACTCATGAAAACCAGGAAGAGATGCATTTCCAAACACCAGTGCTTAGGCTGGAAGCAAGTACAATCAACCCTGTACTTTTCGGCACCTTATACATCTTCACAGGTTTGACACAATGTCTAGAGGTCTTAAATTATTCCCTACAAAAAATATAAGGCTAACGCTTGTTTCAGTTAATTTCTTTTTCAAATACGAGTTCATGCATCACAGGTACCCTGGTTTTGAAGATGTAACTAGATTTGGTTCCAATGTTATGACAAAATGACAAATTTATTTCTAAAATCAAATTCTCATTGCTTTTGTGCATCATTATTTTTTTATAATGCCACCTATGTTTGTAAATTTTCCTCAGATTTTACTACTAGCAACTGAAAAACTGTCATTGACTGGGCAAGCCAGGGGTCCCCACACTGTGCATTTTGGAGAAAGTGTATTCACAGCTGTTGATCTCTGTTTTTCAGGAGCTACCCATTAAAAGCAATTGGGTTTCATTCCTGACCACAGGTTTCCTGAGAGTCTATTAGCTCTTTCCACCCAACAAGCCTCCTCCTACAGAGTTAAACTTCATATTGTGTAATTATAGGCAATGTAGACTAATGGTGTATATTCAAAACACACTGTCACCACAAAAGTTAGTTGAGTAAAAAGTCAATTAGATCCAAAACAAATCAATAAAGTCCCACATTAAAAGCAGCTGTCTGACCAGTTTTATGTACAACTATTGATTCCCTGTGGTTCCAGCATTAGTTCTCATTTGCAATTTTCTCGAAGCAAAAGCTCATGCTCCCTTGCTGACTGAATTGACCAGCCAGCCTGGTTGTATTAGTTGGTACCTGGGGTACCTGACTAACTTCTGCTGCCAACTTGCACCTCTCAGGTTGCAGTACTGAAATGTTTTTGTGTTTCATTCTCAACAACAATGAAAATGCCTCCCCCACTCCCCCTCTCGAAAAGCTACAGGCATGAGTGTAAGTATCTTCTCTCCTTTGTAGCCACATTGAGCAGAAGCAGAAGCACCAAGAAGGGAAAGATATGGTGGGAATTCATGGGTAAGAGCGGAGAAGCATGTGAGAGACAGCAAAATCCCCAAGTCTTCTCAGCCACAAGATGGGAAGGACGGTGGGCGAATCCTGGTGTCACCTGGTTTTGGTGACTTTGCTGTTTCCCCTTCTGACGGCTGCAATGAGTACAAGAGTGGCTGACCAGAGGGTGAACTGCAATGAGTGAAGGGAAGGGAACTACACGTGGACAAAGGCAGGACAAACCATGGAGAGAAGTGACAGGAAGACAATGATGCCAGGCACTGGGATCTGCCTGATGTTTGAAATTCAAGCCTTTTGAAAAGAAAACTTTTCTCACATCTAGGTGTTTCACTTAAGTCTCCAGTAGAATAGATGTGGACAAAATGGAAAGCAGATGTCCAAATAGAAATACATCCCATCCATATGTGTCACTACTCTAGAAAACTCAAAAGGCACTTCCAAGCAAAGATACAAGATCCTGCACTTCAGCTAACTCCATGGAGTGCCATCCCATGACTTACTTGCACTCTGACACTGAAGAACATACATGTCTTGGTTTCTTTCTTTCTTTCTTTCCTTTCACACTCTTCTACCAACACTTACTTCTACCTATTCAGTGTCTGTTTCCAATACCCAGTCACTAGCTAACCATACTCCAGAAGTCTCCAGAAACCTGACAATTTTGAAGTCTTTTCCCTGTACAACCAAAGAAACAATGGATTTTGAAGGCTACAATTACCTGGTTAAGTACTTAACAAGATCCTTATCATAACATCTACCACAAAAACTTCCAATTGAAGACCTTCCTCCTGAGCTACCTTCCCTGAAATCCCTCAGAAACTTCCAATTCAAGACCTTCCTCCTGAGCTACCTTCCCTGAAATCCCTCAGAAAGTTAATTTTAATGATTTTAGTGAGAGATGTTTAATGATTTTAGTGAGAGATGTTGCCCCTTCTGATCAGGATCTCAAACTCCGTCGTTCCTCTACAGGATGCTCGAATATCCCTCCTAAGGAAACTACACTCTTGTATACCCAAGTTCCTTCCAATCGACCAGGCTGACTGCTGCTCACATATGGAAATATCCCAAGAAAAGAAACCGAATGTTCTCTTTTGTGCATGTTAGATCAGGTTTCATCGAGATCCCTTCAGAAATTTCTGTACTTTGGCTCCTAATCTAGCCCTTCTGAGCAGACGGATCCATGGAGCTGAGCACAACTGCCCCGACAAAAGCACAGACCCATCAGACCACACCACCAACGTTCTAGAAGCAAAAATGTGTTTATTTTTACCAAGTCCTAGAGTAATTTTCGTGCTTAATGATAACAGGCTGAGCCAATTTGCCTAAGACTTGACAGTCAGCTCCAATAATTCAACCTTAATTAAACCTGAACGCATGTCAGTTCAGCTCGTCCCTTCACAGGGACATTTGCAATGATTCATGTTTCAGCCATGCTACGGGAAGGCTGGATCACATCTGCCATTCTCCACCATGCAGAGCGCTACCCCTTTTCGGCATGCCAACTTTGTTTATTTTCTAACCAAACACTTTGGACTTCTTCCATTGAGAGGTTTTCTTAAATGAACAGACAGTGAAACATGTCTTGATCTCCTGGGGATAGATGATGACTGAATGCAAGAGACAGGGAAGAAAGGACTGAAACTACTCTAACAAGAAAAATAACAACAACCTGTGATTAGTAATTCTTGCCTCCTTGACCAACTAATTTGTCATCTGTAGTGTTGCAAAATTTCAACCTCCCTGTGTCTTGGGCTACATCCCATTCCAATTTAACCTGGTAAAGATCAAAATTTTTAACAATTTTTAAAAGCATAGAGAGCTTTAGCTACTGCTGCTGGAAATCTGTAGAAACAAGTGTTGAAGTTTAAGGGAAACCCAGTCAACTGCAGTTAAATTTGCTGCAAAAAGTGTATTTCAAGAGGAGTCACCTAAACCTGAAAGACCATGAATCCAACATGCAACTTTGGCGAATTCAAACTCTGTGATTGGAATAAACACACACTGCCCATCCCCATGGCTGCACAGGCTGCCATGCTCGCCTGTGTGTAACTACACAGCATTGCAGGCTAAATACAATACAGAAAGTCCCAGACACAAATTAAACCTTTCTGTTACAGGAATTTGCTTTCAAGCTGATTAAGAGTAGCTCAAGTGCAAGGGATTAAACATGTAAAGGCTGCTTTGAGAGCTCCAATAAGCAGTTACTGTGTTATACAAACAGTACTTAGGGCAACAGCAGTTC